CAATTTTTCGAAAGGTCATTTTCCTTGGATTTTGAAAGTTACAGACCACGGATTCGCCCTGGGGCTATTGGTCGCCTACTAATCGTACCCAAACCCTTATTTTGAAATCTATCGATGGTCGATTCAGGTGGAAAATTTTCGGAGAGCATTTTCATAATTTTTAGGCGATTTTTTCAAAAAGCCATTTTACAAGGATTTTGAAGACTGCAGATCACGAATGCAGCGTGAGGCTATTCTTCAACGTTGATTAAGTGTACTAAGCACCGATTTAGGCAGATTTCTTTCGGGGCAATTTTTGGCAAATTCCAAAGGGGTACCATCACAGATTTCAGGCGATTTTTCGAAGGTTCATTTTCCTTGGATTTTGAAAGCTGCAGACCACGGATTCGGCCTGGGGCTATTGGTCGCCTACTAATCGTAACCGAACCCCAATTTTGAAGTCTGTAGGTGGCCGATTTGGACGGAAAAGTATCCGAGGACATTTTCGTAATTTTTAGGCAATTTTTTCGAAAATCCATTTTACTAGGATTTTGAAGTCTACAGATCACAGATTCAACGTGAGGCAATTCTTCAACGTTTATTAAGTGTACTAGGCAACGATTTAGGCACATTTCTTCCGGGGCCATTTTGGCAAATTACAAAGTAGTACCATCACTGATTTCAGGCGATTTTTCGAAAGGTTATTTTCCTTGGATTTTGAAAGCTACAGATCACGGATTCGGCCTGGGGCTATTGGTCGCCTACTAATCGTAGCCAAACCCCTATTTTGAAGTCTATCGGTCAGCGATTTGGGCGAAAAATTTTCGGAGTTCATTTTCATAATTTTTAGGCGATTTTTTCGAAAAGACATTTTATAAGGATTTTGAAGGCTACATATCACGGATTTAGCCTGAGGCTATTTTTCAACGTTGATTAAGTGCACTATGCACCGATTTGGGCATATTTCTTCTAGGGCAATTTTTGGCAAATTCCAAAGGGGTACCATCATAAATTTCTGGTGATTTTTCGAAAGATCATTTTCCTTGGATTTTGAAAGCTACAGACCATGAATTCGGCCTGGGGCTATTGGTCGCCTATTAATCGTACCCGAACCCCTATTTTGAAGTTTGTTGGTCGCCGATTTCTGCAAAAAGTATTCGGAGGGCATTTTCATAATTTTTAGCCAATTTTTTCGAAAATACATTTTACAAGGATTTTGAAGGCGACATATCACGTTTTCAGCCTGAGATTTTTCTTCAACGTTGATTAAGTGTACTAGGGCACCTATTTGGGCAGATTTCTCCTGGGGTCATTTTTGGCACATTCCAAAGGGGTACCCTAACAAATTTCGGACGATTTTTCGAAATGTCATTTTCCTTGGATTTTGAAAGCTACAGACCACAGATTCGGCCTAAGGCTATTGGTCGCCTACTAATCGTACCCGAACCCTATTTTTAAGTCTATCGGTAGCCGATTTGGGCGGACAATTTTCGGAGGTCATTTTCATAGTTTTTAGGCGATTTTTTCGAAAAGCCATTTTACTAGGATTTTGAAGGCTATAGATCACGGATTCAGCCTGAGGCTATTCTTCAACGTTGATTAAGTCTATTTGGCACTGATTTGGGCGAATTTATTTCGGGACTATTTTTGGCAGATTCCAAAGGGGTACACCATGATAGATTTTTGGCGATTTTTTGAAGGAATATTTTCCTTGGATTTTGAAGGATACAGACCGCAAATTTGCGCTGAGGATATTTTCCACCAATGATAAAGTCTATTGGTCATCGGTTTGGGTGAAAAAATTTCATATGACATTTTTTCGTAATTTTTAGGCGATTTTTTTGAAAATCCATTTTATTTGGATTTTGAAGGCTACATATCACGGATTCGCCCCGAGAGGTGTGGTTTTTACACCTCCTCCATAATTGGTCCATTATCTCCTGCATTTTTTTGGCAAGTATTAATGAAAGTGATTGTTTTTTTTTTTTTGAATCTTTTAAATGGGGAAAGTTCCCAACAATAATTATGCTTTAATTGGGAAGGACCAATATAGCTAGATGGGAAAACATCGTTTCATCTCCCATATTCATATTCCCGATATTTCCTCCCGAAGATATATCCCTTCTCTGCATCCAAATAAAATGGACCAGTATAGCTCGACAACGGCTGGAAACCATCAGGCATCGCAAGACATCAAGTCAACGAAGGCTACACCGGAAGGGAAAACGGGTGCTAGATTCGCGTGGTGGTTCTGAGCATGCCAAGAACGATGGCTCATGTGGCGGCATTGAATGACGGGGAGGCGAAGACGGGATTGGACTCGCCTCCCAATCGCCGGATGGACTGTTGGCAGCCAAAGGAACCTGCCGGAGATGAAGAAGAATATAGAGGGCGGTGGCGGCTCGTTTCTTACCGCTCCCTGTCGTAAAGTACAACCCTACAACGTTTGGTAGACAGAGACACTATCGTGAACATGTACCATTGATCTGGTACATATACTATTGAACTGATACAAGTACCAGTGCAACTATTCAAGTCATACTTTCTACACCATAATGCGACCACACTTGCAGTGTTAGATATACTATACTCATACCATTAGCAAAATCGAAACTCATCCTAAATGTTTCCATTGTGTGTTAGATATACTTTGGAGTGGTACCATTGAAATGACACATGAATCACTAAACTTATTGATATACCGGTGAACTGATACACATACCATTGCACCGACACATGTATCACTGAACTGATACATGCACCATTGAACATATACATGTACAACCAATCTGATACGTAAACAAAACAACAACTTCCAATTAGTATCACCACTAACCGTGGAGTATAATGTGTTATCAGAAAAAGGGAAATGCCAACAACAATAAAATATCCTACCAATGTAACAAATAAACATGAAGTCACTACGAAATTGTTTGTGTGAATCCTAAACAACGTAAAATCCAAGTATAGCCTTTCTCTCCTCTTAAAACCCACCTTTCAGAATTATGAATTATAGAGTTCGGGTTGCACTTCTTGCTGCTAACATCATTAGTACATTTCCTCTTACGCCTATCTTGTTGTCCCTTATCTCGACTCTCATGGCATTGTTTCTTGCTGGTACCCGCACTCGAGGAAGGAGTCTGACCTACCCCAACTTCTACCTGCCTAGAAACATAGCTTGCAGGCCTATTCCCTATTGGCACCGCACGATATGGTCTCTTCGTCCTTGCCATTCCTGTTGCCATTGATAAACACAATAATCAGAACTATCAATTCAATGATAGAAAATATGAGATCAATAACTAAGACAACTATCACTGTCGTGATATAAATCAGTGGTACAATTACATCGGCACACCAAATGGCAAATACGCACTAGTGGTAGAAATACAAGAATATTCACACGGTTAACTATCAATGTAGTGATATACTGGAGTCGTAGAAATAACACTACATTATCCAAGAATCAACTATCACTAGAGTAGTGCGCTTCCATGCCAGAATAAAAAATTTATACCATTGCAGTGATAGACATACACAAAGCGCTTTGTCAAATCAACTATCACTAGAGTGATACACTTTCGTGCCAGAATCAACAATTTATACCACTCCAGTGATAGACGTACCAGTACACTGGTACTAATACCACTTGAAAAAATCCAGATCTGGAAACTCAAAGACACATAAAAAGTGAGAAAGAAGGGGGAGAAGAAAATGAGATTGAATTTTGAATTGGGCATGGGAATTGGGAACCGTGTTTTCCCATATTCTTTCCCTTTTCAATGTGGTGAGAGAAACTAATTATGTAATTAATGCCCAATAAATAGCTAATTAATCCTTACTATTGGATTAGATGGACGACATTTAAGAGGGGTGTTGAAAATCAGACCCCCTAAGGGGGGTAGTCAAGCTAACCCAACCTGTATTTGTTAGAGCAAATATGCTCTTTAGATAATTGTTGATGTTGGATTTCTAGGAAGCAAACCAATGACACCCATGGATTACAAACTCCACCTTAGGATTGAAGATCTAGAAGCACATGTTGATCACACTAAATGTATGCAATTAGTTGGGAGGTTGATCTATTTAATAACCACTAGACCAATATCAGCTTTGCAACTCACCAAGTTAGTTAATTCAATCATGCACCCACTATTACACATTAGAAGAGAGTTTTTTTTAATACTCATACTTCCAATGATGTTCATGAAATGGTTTATCCTTCTCTTCTTCATCTGATTTTCGTTCAAAGGCATATAACGACACAGGTTGGAGCACGTGTCTTGATACTCGACAATAAGTAATTTATTATCGTGTGCTCCTTGGATATCCTGGATATCCAAGAAACCGTTTACTGCTCCTCACTTATCATGTGAAGCAGAGTATTGAGCATCGACATACACAAGCTATCAGATGCAGCGGGTTCTTTATCTGCCTCAATATTTAAAATTTGATCACAAAAGGGTTGTCTCTATTGTGAGAATCTATATGCCATGCAAGAATGCAAGTTTTCATGGAAGCGCCAACTCACAAAGAGCTGGATTGCCACTTGGTTCGTAAGAAGGTCCGAGCTCATATCATTAAGCTCTTATTCAGAAACCATAATACCAACTAGATAACACACAGAAAGGCGTTGACGCTAAGACCCTTCGCCATAAAACTCTCAAAGTTGGTGTTCAGTCTCTCCGACAACCAGCTTGTGGCCGGGGGACATAAGAAGGACTTTCTTTCGGTGATATGTAGTAATAAGGAAGGATAGAACCTGATATGATTACCGAGAGCAAGCAGCTCAAAACCCACTTCCAGGGCATCAAAATCCACGGCCGTGGAATTGAGGTTGGGACCATGGAATTGGAGCAGAGGAAATCCACGGTTAGAAGCCCAAAATACACGACCGTGGATTTCAAGGAGGGACGGTGAAATTTGGCATGACGCGTTAAATTCCCTTTTTTGTTCCCTTTCGGGGTTTTGGTTATTTTATTTGCCCTAGACTATATAAAGGGTTGGGAACACGAATTTAGGCCGACTTTGAAGAATATTGAACTTTTATCTTGGTTTTGAGCTTTAGGCTTAAACTTTTCTTTGTATCAATCAAGTTTTCCCCTTGATTATGGTCGAGATTCTACCTTTTATATTGATTGAGCCTTCTCTCGTTTTGTGTTGAGATTGTACTTTCAATTCCATCCTATCCCCAAACAAACAAAAACCCTAAATATCCAATTCCTAGTTCGTTCTTGAGGCTGTGCGACTTTGATAACTACGGGTACAGGGTCCGTGCTAGTATCAGGTGGTATCAGATCCCCATTCAACATAGTGGCGGGATCAAAAGCGAGAGGACCTGTTGCTTGTAGAACGAGGTCCAAATATTCGATTTCAGAACGCAGATAAGAGGAAGCAACGCTCTCTGAAGAAGAAAGCTCAATCGAAGAACAAGCCATGGGAGAGCAGAGTTAGGATATTGCAGAAGCCATGAAGCTGCTTACCACGCAGATGGGAGCTTTGCTTTAGGCCCAACAAGACGCTACCAAAGGCCAGCTGGTTGAGGGTAATCGGCGGCTGGATACCCTAATCACCAAGTTGGGAGAGCAACCACGGGGTAATTTACCTTCACCAGAGAACCCAGCAGATATTGCAGCTTAGACTGGAGTCGCGAAATGAGAGGATCATTGAGCAGATCTTGTTTTCCAGGCTTTCCTAGGACCCCATATTGGCATATGCAGAGGCGCCAATATACAGAGCAACGTTGTCAGGTAATCTCACGGTACAGACCTCCATTTAATGAGTATGATAATGATTATAATGAGTATGGAGGAAGACCACCAGAAGCAGGGGGTTACGACGTTGAATAGATTCGAGGGATTAAGCTCTCAATCTCGTCATTTCAAGGAACTAATAGTGCATCAGCTTACCTCGACTGGGAGAGGAAGATGATTATGTTTTTCCACTGCAATCCTTACCTAGAGCATCAAAAAGTTATTGTAGCCACCTATGAGTTTACAAATTATGCAGCAGTTTGGTGGGAAAAGATTCAGCAGTAGCGAAGAAGGAATTTGCAGCCTGATGTTTCTACTTGGGCAGAACTCTGAGGCTTGATGCGTGATCGTTTTGTGCCTCCATTATATAAAAGAGACCTTCATATGCTTTGCATGGAATTTGACAAGGAGCACACTCTGTTGATGAGTACTTCAAGGAACGGGAACTTCTCATGATGAGAGCATATGTGCGAGAAGACAAGGAAGCAACGATTGCTTCCTTTCTACATGGGCTTAACAGATAAATCAAGAATGAAGTGGAGCTTCATTAGTTTGTGGAGTTGGAGGAAGCAATGAATTTGGCCATGAAGGTAGAGAGGCAGCTAAAGGGGAGCTAAGGAAGAAGGTATCCACCTTCACTCAAACCCATTGTAGAGAGCACTCTTGAGGCTAATATGAATTATCCTAAGCAAGAAGGAGCCAAGCCAGGAACACAACACCAGTCATTCAAACCAGGAATGAAGGATCAACTAGAAGCATCCAATGCTTCAAGTGCTTTGGCCGAGGTTACAAGGCTAACCAGGGCCCCAACAAGAAGACTCTTGTCTTGCGAGATAGAGAGTATTTATTCGAGGAGTATGAAGAGAAGCCCATGGGGAATGGATTCCGTTCTCATGCTAATTATGAAGATGATGATGTGGATGAGCACATCAAGGTTGAGAAATCTCCAGCATGTAAACTTCTCGAAGTGAACCGCCGAGCTTTATCCATTGAAGCTTACACAGAGACGAAGCAGAGGGATAATCTCTTCCACTCTCGTTGCATGGTCGACATGAAGGTGTTTGTCATCGATGGTGGTAGCTGCACTAATGTGATTAGTATGGATGCAGTCAAGAAGCTGGGATTGAGCACCATCAAGCATCCTCAACCATACACTATGCATTGGCTGAACGACTATGGGAATATCAAAGTCAACAAGAAGGCAAAGGTTTGTTTTCATATAAGTGATTATGCAATGAGATTTGGTGTGACGTTGCTCCAATGTAGGCTGCTCATCTTCTATTGGGTCGCCCGTGGCAATACGATCGGGAAGTCATTCATGATGGATGGCACAACATATACCGGTTCAAGAAAGGAGATTAGAAGTTTCTGCTGAATCCATTGTCACTAGCTGAAGCCCGGGAAGATCATCAACAACTGGCAATGAACTGGGCCAGGGAGAATGGAAGTGCAAGTCGCTCGAAGGTGGAACTCATCTTATCGCTCAAAGGCACATGTTGACGACGCTAACGAGGATTCTGTTTAGAAATTTTGTTGATGTGGTGTCTTGCAGGAAGGTACCAGCATTGAGGACAAAACTTTTTAACAGGGAGGGCCTGATATGATTCCCTAGAGCAAGAAGCTCAAAACCCACGGCCAGGGCATCAAAATTCACGACCGTGGAATTGAGGTTGGGACCGTGGAACTGGAGCAGGGGAAATCCACGGTAAGAAGCCCAAAATCCACGACTGTGGACTTCAAGGAGGGACGGTGGAATTTGGCCAGGAATTTTGTTTCCTTTCGGGTTTTTGGTTATTTTATTTGCCCTAGACTATATGAAGGGCTAGGAACACGAATTTAGGCAGACTTTGAAGAATATTGAACTTTTATCTTGGTTTTGAGCTTTAGGCTTAAGCTTTTCTCTATATCAATCAAGTTTTCCCATTGATTGTGGTCGAGATTCTACCTTCTATATTGATTGAGTCTTTCTCCCGATTTGTGTTGAGATTGCACTTTCAATTCCATCCTATCTCCAAACAAACAAAACCCCTAAATATCTAGTTCCTAGTCCGTTCTTGAGGCTGTGCGACTTTGATAACTACGGGTACAAGATCCGTGCTCGTATCAGAACCCGAGTCACCAAGCAATCAAGTTACAAGGAGATGTGGCATGCCATGATTGGCTTAATTACAACTTCTTGTTGTTTGTTTTTAATCGTTTTAACTGCCAAGTCTACTGAAACCTAGCTGTAGCGGTCTTGGCTTTTCTGATATTCGGAGAATACAAACAGAATGAGGAGAAAGACAACTTTACCTTTCTTTCTGCAATTTTCAGATTTTGCAATTTCAATATACATTCATCTTTTGAAGAACCCTGCTAACCTATCTGTAATTGACCTCCTTGTGAAACAAAATCATGCATAATGGATGAACCATATAATGTATGCATTCCATTATAGCAAAGAACAAGATTGGTTTGGTTTTGTAGATGAAACCACAACAAAAAGTATGTGATGAATTCTAACACAAACGAGTTATTATAACTAACTCTTTACTGATAAGCACAGTGCACACACACAACCTAGCATCTCATTAAAGTAATCCCATAGAAAGAAAAAAGAAGATAAACATAGACACTGCCACCAATGGTTAACCCCTATAGTAAGCTTTTTTTCAACCTTTTTTTACTAAAAGATATTGAATTATTGATTATCATCATTATTATTATTATTATTATTATTATTATTATCTAATTATAGGAAAAGTAAAGTTACAGCAACCAAAATACATCGGATTAACCGGGGTCAACAAATAAATACCAAACTTAAAAAACTAAATTGCAGTTAATACCATCAATCAATTAGGATAAAAAGCTGGAAAAACCCTAAACGACATCGCCTTGAGGCATTGGCGTGGCGTACGAAGCAATCCACCACACGGTGTCGTTTAGATTGCTTGACCCCCAAAAAAAATATCCGAACGGATGTTGCCAAAATGACTAACTGAACAAGCTGTGAGGGTAAAGGCACCCGCGTAAATGGTGGCCGAAAAGAGGGGCAAATTGGGAATTAGCTTCCCTATATAATGATAAAGCTAGAACTGGGCCGAGGCGTCGGTTTGTATTTTTGGAGAGTCTTCTGCTGAGAAATTTGGCGAGAGCGAGCGAGCGAGCGGAGGAGAAGAGTTTCCGTTATCCTTTCTCTCTCTACAGAAAACCAGTTTTTCCCCTTTGTGTTTTCTCCCTCTCTCTAGAAAAATCCATCGAAATCTTATCGCCCCCTAAACCAGAAACGAATTAGGGTTTTTCGGTATCTCCTCCTTCATCGAATCCACCCAATCCTCTTCTTCAAGATTTCCGTATTATCTCCTCAGCAGCCAGCCAGCCAGCCAGCCATGGTGTCCGATTCAATCACCCCCAACGCCTCCATTCCTTCCGCCCCGAAGGATTTCGCGAAGAAGAAGAGGGTGAGTGCTGAATCCGATCCTTTTTTTTTAATCCTGTTTCAATTGATTTCTCATCGTCTCTGTTTCCTCACCAGCGAATTTGTTTCCTTTTTTCTGCAATTTCGTCTCTTTGTGTTCCCTCGTCATTGATTCTTTTCCCCTCTTTTCTTGTCTCGTTAATTTGTTTTGTGGCATTAGGCCAATAGGTCCGCCAGATTGAAGCAGTGCAAGCTGGATGCCCGTCGTGAGCAATGGCTTTCTCAAGGTTCGCCCTCTTAACATTCATGATTTTCGGGTCTATCTATGAGAAATTCGAAATTGTTTTGTGTCTTTTAGGAAAGTTAGTGACTTTTTCATGAGGATTTAGTTTTCTGATGCTGTGGATTGGGGGTTTATGATGATAGGAACGGGTAAGAGCAAGGGAAGCCAGGAGCAGAAGATGTCTCCTCGTGCTTCTCAACCTCCTCTTTCCCCTTGCAAGAACAAAGAGAGGAAGAGGAATCCGCTTGAGAAGTTGGAGACAAGGAGAGGAGTGGTGGGTGAAGAGGAGAATGAGAATGGTACCATTCATCATCATCATCTCCATCATCATCATCACGACTTCGATACAGATTCACCTTCTAGTAGCCCCATCAGCAACAGTAGTGTGCTTGGGGTTACTGATTCGGGCACAAATTTCACTGCTTCTTCGAGTTGCAGTGGAAGCAGCAGTGGGGGCTCTTGCTCTGGCAATATAACTGAAGATGAGGAAGAGGATGGAGAGGAGGAAGGGGAGGAGGAAGATGATAATTGCTTGGATGATTGGGAGGCTATGGCAGATGCTTTAGCAGCAAATGATGATGCTAAAGAGGAGAAGAGCCCAAATGATGATCCCCATTTGGGTTCAGGGTTACCTCGTGAGCACGAGCCTTCAATCCAATCACATTGTTTAGGCTCCAATGTCAACTTGAGGCCAGAATGCCCGCGAGCTACCCCTCCGAGAACGATGTCATGTAACACTCGGGCCTGGAGGCCAGACGATGCATTCCGTCCACAGACCTTGCCCAATTTGGCAAAGCAGAGAAGCCTTCCACATACGAACAGATCCTATGGTCACGGTGGGCTCGCTTGGGCCAAATCTCTTAACACGCCTTCCAGCTGTCCTATATGTTGCGAGGATTTGGACCCCACAGACTCAAGTTTCTCGCCCTGTACTTGCGGGTTTCGGCTTTGCTTGTTCTGTCACAAGAGGATTCTTGAAGAGGATGGTCGTTGTCCTAGCTGTAGGAAGCCTTACCAGCAGGAGCATAACAAAGTAGAGGCTGAGCCATGTGTACATGGGGGTAGCCTGACTCTAAGGTTGGCTCGCTCCTGTAGCATGAGGTCCTAAGCAAGCAGAGAGTAGATGGGTGATCTCGAATTTGTGTATGTTGCGTCTAAACTGTCTCCTTTCTTTTGTCACGCATGTCCTTTGTTTCTAGTTTTAGTCTCTCCAATTTCGTAGAACCTAGATATTGCGGACATAAGTGGTTTCTGTTTCCCTTTTGGCACCCCAGGAATTTGAGCTAGTTCTGCAAGGTTCGGTTCTTGTCGTGTATGGTGCGTATGCTTACTACTGTAGAGGATTCAAGTATGGTAATGTGAATAGAGAAGATGGTATAGAAACAATACATAAAAGATGATTTTGACAAATCTAGTTCTGAGTTTGTTTTGTGCTCTGTGGGACATATATTATAATTTGTTATCCACTTATGCTCGTGGTTGTGGCTTGTTCTTAATATCCCTTCAGTGTGTTGTGCAAAGAATATACTTTGTATCGTACACTTCTCTTTGTGGTTTGTTTTCCAGTTGCCGTTTCTGTTTCTATCCACTTCAATGACTTGTTTTTTTTGTTTATATATCTTGTATATATATAACGCGGCCTTCTGTAAGCTTATATAGTCTGTGCTATAGACTCCCCTTTTCTCCAGCGCTGCAGAAGGCAGCACAGGTTATGGCATAAATCTGTACTTATTTTCTTTCACTAACGTTTTGCGTTCTCTAATTCGTTTATGGCAACTTTGTGCAAGCTCTGTATTTATGGAGCTTTGTCGATGGTCATATGACAACCAAGTCCCATTATTCCGTGGGGATAGTTACAAGGTAGCTTCTCCCTTATTATTTTGTTAATGTGGACACGTTTATGGGGTCGATGTATCTATGCATCATTGCCATTGGTGCCTAAATGATTGCTTTAATTATTATGCATGCATGCATACATGATACATGTCTAGAAGTCAATTGGCATTTCATTTATTTTTCTGTCTGTGTTGGGAATAACTCTCTCGCCCCACACACCCCTGTCATTACAGTTTCTGACCGCCTAGCATAACGTCATTCCTCGTCTCATGTCATCTGCACAGATTGAGTGGTAATTTTTTCTGGAAGAAAGTCTTATCTAGGTGCCCCAAAATGATGTAGATACCGCATCTTGGCTACTCGTTATCGTGTTGCAGTCCAAGAAAACAGCAGAGGAAAACTGGGTTGACGTTAACATAGTTTGTTGTGTTTCAGAAGATAAGTTTGTTGTACTAAGTTAAAGCATGCAAGAAAGAGGGGAGTGATGTTGTGGCTTCTGCTTCAGCATGGTTGAATGTCTGATCCGGGAATCTACAAATACTTAGATTTTGATATGTGAGCATAGGTCATCCCTGAATCTGCTAATCTTTCATGTGGCTGAATCTCCTCTATTGCTTATAAGTTACATTTCACTTGGCGATTGATGCAGCAATCTGGGTTGTCTTTTTTTTTCTTCTTCCCTATGTCGCGCTGCTTGCTTTGGGGTTCTGTGGTGTGTGGGTTGTCAACGAAACTATAAATTTTTTAGATGTGTAAAAAGCTGTTAGCTGAAGTAATGCCTGCCTACTCTGTCCCCTGCATGTGAAAGAGATGTAAGGTTTGAATCTGATTTTGCACTTGGCCTTTGTGGTTCTGAAACTGTGAACTGGCAATGAGAGCCAGGTAGCTTTGTTATCTTCTTTTAGTTTTGCTGCCCAATGTCATGCGTACGGTGTGTCACAGTTTGGGGGTTGCGAATATCCCTTGGCTTGGCCTCCATGTGGTTTGGTTTTCCTTTCTGGTATAACAGCAGCAGCAGCTTCCTACTATGCGCACGGTTGGTGCTTTCATTCTTTGGGCATGAGAAAGATGTCCAATTCTGCTTTTCTTTTTCTTTAGCGGGCAACTCTGTTTACGTCGGATGACCAGAAAACAGAGAGTTCATGATTTGATCAATGAATGCATGAGAAATTTGGTGAATTAAGTGGACTTTATTTACAAAACCGCCAAACTGTACTGGAACTCTTACCTGACTAGTTAGCGGAATAGTATTCTATTTGTGCCGGGCCGATCGACCCAAAGTCGTCCCTTACCGTCGAAATAGTCCAAATCTGCCTAATACACATGCCTCGTGGCTGGTTGCTTAGGGTCTTCTTTCTATGTCCAATCCCTCCCTTCTTTCTTCCCTCCGCAGGCCACCTTTTGATACTCATTCTCTCATTCAACACTTGGTTTTATTGTTACTCTGTTTGGTCTTTTTGTTACTCCGTTCTCCCATAGACCACCCCACCTTCAGTAACATGTTTTTTTTTTTTTGTGTGTGAAAAATGTTGGTAAATTATGTCGTTCTAAGGTATATATTGATGATATGTAAGGATACAATGTTAAGTACAACTATGATAAAGTGGATTCGAAAAAAAAATCTAAGTAGGTCCGACCAAAGAGACCCGTCCCAAATCAAACTCGACGTTTACTCAATCCAAACTAATAAATAAATGAAAAAACATTTGAATAATATGTTGGGTTTGACTTTCAACAAGTTAACTCATTGTCATTCAATTGGATCCTACCCAAATAGACCTATGTCTCAATTTGAACTCATGATAACTACTAAACGATTTTGAGGGTTCGAACCCAAGATAAATATTGGGTTTGACTTTCAACAATTTAACTCTTTGCCATCCAAATCAATCCTATCCAAATTGACATACGTCTCATTTGAACCCATGATAACTAATAAACGATTTTGAGTTTGAGGGTCGTTTATATCTGAAAAGGATTAAATAGGTGTCATTAGATATAAATAAACACGCTTTTATTGAGAGTTGCGATTTTGAGAGTTTGAACCCATGATAAATAAATAATAAATGATTTTGAGGGTCGTCTATATATGAAAAAGGATTAAATAGGTGTTATTAGATATAAATCAACATGCTTTCATTGAGAGTTGAACTCAAGACCTCCCGCTTACTAAACGGGTGCTCTAACCAACTGAGCTATGAAAGCTTCGCATTCAATTATCATTCTTACATTAGACTTGGAGAGGTGGAATTTTGGGTGGAAGGCAAATTAAGATTCTTCTATGATTTATGAACACATTCAATTACACATATCAATCCAATTGAGAGGATGACACATCATTCACATAACACAATTGTGTCAACAAAATAAGCTGAGTAGAGAAAATATTTGCGTCGAGCTGACCATTTGGTACATAGGGCACATCTAGGGGTAATCGGTAAACTGGTATTCGATATTATCGAATACCGTACCGGATACCGACGGTATCCGGTATATCAAATATCGGCGGTATCGGTATTCGATGGCGTATTTGGCATAACGGTATACCGGATAATACTCGGTAATATACCGACGGCAATCCGGTATACCGAAATACCGAAATAACATATATGAAATTGTTGATTTTTGGATTTTATTTAGGCATTTGGTGTTGTTTGTTTAATTCGTGGGGTGTATAATTGGATGATAATTGGACAATTGATTTTGGAAATGAAATTGGAGGGAGCAGGGAGAGCTTGCGGCAGGCAGAGAGAAGAACAAGGGAGGAATGTTTTCTTTCTTTTTATTCTTTCTTACCTTACACTAATGCATCCACGTCCAGGCTTTATATAAGCCTTTAATCAACAAAATATCTAGACTAATTATGCACCGTCCTTGGAAGAAAACGATCTATCCGGTATACCGGTTAAAATACCGGTAATCGACTATCCGGTATTCGGTATCGGTATCCAGCGGAAAAATTTCAATTGCCGGCATATCGAATACCGGCTAGTCGGTATCCAGTATACCGAATACCGACCGATTAACACCCCTAGGCACATCCAAGTTATCTGCTTTAACCTGGTGTTTGTTCCAAATAAAATGTATGTTGGTCAATGATTGGACCATAACAAAAGATTTTTTATGAAAATTGAAAAAAGGAAAATTGGGGAAAAAATCACAAAAATTATAGGGTAAATTGCAAGGTTGGTCGCTATGATTACTAAAAAGGTTCAAGTTTGGTCACTAAAAATATTTAATTTCATTCGTGGTCACTAGAATTAGATAAACAATGCAAATTTGGTCACTCTCCGTTAGTCTCCGTCCGTCTCCATTAATTAACTCCGTTAATTGTTGACGTGGCTAACAAAATCGTCTAGTCAGCCTAATTAAACTAAAAAATGATGAAACCCGACCCGCCACGTCATTAAAACCTGCCATGTCACCTTGTTCTACCCAACCCTTGAACCAGCCCGACCTATGAACCAACCAACCCACTCAAACAAAGTAAGGTTTATCTAATTTGTCTTTCCATATCAGAAATCTATCTTCTCCCTTTGTTCATCTTTCTTCCCCGAATATGATACCCAGAAAACAAAAACAAAAACCCTAATTTTCAGATCCCGTTCTTCCCAAACCCAATCCCGCCGAAAATCTCGGCCACTTGATTTCATCAAACCCAATCCTGGTGACAATATCGGCGACCCAATCCTGGTGACAATCGCAGTTACAGATATGCTGCTTCACAAGTTGTTCCCAGCAACCGGGGACTGGAGGCGGGGCTCGGGTTCTTCGTTTCTTCTGGCGGCTCTGGGTTCGTGAGAGCTGGAACCACTCTCGTCTCAAATCTGGAGACTTGGAAATCGAGAGCTCCTGCGAGGACTAGGGGCGGGGATCATTTATCCCTCCATCGGCGTGAGGAAGAAAATGATTTTTTGTTGTTGCTGGAGCTTTCAGCTATAAACAAATCTCAAAGATTGCTAGATGAGGAATCTTTCTCCACGCCCACGGGATCCCACCCGCCGAACCCACTGCGCCGCCAGTTCCTCCTTCCGGGAGGCTGCCAACGAAGCAGAGCTCGTCGAATCAGTTCAATCCGTCAGAGGAGTTTGGGTTGTTGACACGAAGGGGTTGGGAAAATATGAAATGAAGGTTGGGTTGTTGACGTGAAAGGGAACTCGGGGAACGCCGGGGCCGGTTTCAAGGTTCAAGATCATTGCAATGGTGGCGGGTTGGATATCATATACGAAGCCGGAGAAGGATGTGTTCTTGACGCAAAGGGGAACTCGGGGAGAGGAAGGCTCAATAACGGGGTCGGGTCAGGGGTTTGGCTGGGTCAGTTGTGGGTTTGACGTGGAGATTATTTTGATGTGGCAGGTAGATTTTTATTTTTTTAGGATTAAAATTAAGTGATTCAGCATTTCTGTAAGCCACATCAGCAAAGAACTGACGGTGTTAATAGAGGCTAACGGAAGGTACCGGAGAGTGACCAAAGTTGAAACATTTAACTAATTTTAGTGACCATGAATGGAATTAAATATTTTTAGTGACCAAACATGAATGTTTTTTGTAATCACAGTGACCAATCATGCAATTAACCCAAAAATTATATATTGAAAAAAGGAAAATTGGAAAAAAATTACAAAAAATTATATTTTTATGTGAAATATAACAGAGGGGTTAATTACATGGTTGGTCACTAAGATTACAACAAATGTTTATGTTTGGTCACTCAAAATATTTAAATCCATTCGTGGTCACTAAAATTTGTAAAACCGTCCAAGTTTGGTCACTCTCCGTTAACCAACACCGTTATGTGATGACGTGGCAGAAGAAATCACCTAGTCAGTCAAATTTAACCCAAAAATAGTAAAATCCGACCGGCCATGTCACTATAACCCGCCGTGTCATCTTGTCCATCCCAACCCAACCCAACTCTTGAACCAACCCGACCCACCTACCCATGAATCGACAACTCAAACAAAATAAGGGCTTATCCCTTTTTCCTTTCCAAATCTGAAAACCATCTTCTTTAGTTCTTCATTTTCTTGCATTCCCTTTGACAACCAGATCTGAATGGAGCTTGAATCGGTCGCCGCAACAATCGCACCCCCCTGCTTTTATCTCCCTCGCTTGTTCGTCCTTCGCCGTTCCGTTCCTTCTCCTACCCTTATCTTGTCAATTCGAGTCCCCACTGCACCTCCATGGTTCCCCAGCCCAAGCTTCCCTCTCCATGACTTCCGAATTCTCCTTGATCTTCCTCACCGCCTCCTCGTATATGCTCCTCCGTATTATATCCCACCCTCCTCCTTTAACAATCGTTTTCTTGTTCTCATTATTATTACTTTCGAATTTCCCCGTTTTGAAATACCATTCCAGTTCGGGGACCCCAATCGATTTCAGCAGCCCGGTCTGACCCGACCACGACTCCGACGAGTAGAACTCCGCCATCTCCTCCATTATCCCCGTCTCACCATCTCGTCCACCAGCCGACATAGGTAGTCGCACAGCACGGAAAACGTGACATCAATCTAGAGAAAGCAGCAATCGTAACTCAACTGCGGGGAGACCCGGTCCTCCGGACCCGACCCGTAAAAGACATCGAACCCAGGGTGAAACCGATCAACGGGGAGGGAGTAGATGAATGACTTGGACCAACCCACCACGACGGAGAGCTTTCCCCTCGATGCAATGTCGGATACCGCCGCCCCGGCGGCGTCGCGGAACTCGGCGGCAGTTAACTCCACCTCGACCTGGTCCAAAACGCGAAGGAGGTGGTGTCGGACGCCTCTCCGCTCTAGAATCATGATTTTATTGTTGGCGATGTCGAGCCCTGACTCGCTATGACACAACTCCTAACAATGGCCAAGTGTAATCAATGGAAGGGACTGCAATATAGTGGCTCAAGTAATAAATATTGAATCCACGGGTCTCTAGAGTTACTATTACTCAGTTTCAGTTCATTATCTAGCAAACCAGATTAAGATAGAACAACTAAAAATACTCTAGCAAACTACAGTTAAAGTTAATCTAATTACAGGTTGGGAACTCACTTATGTATGATTCTCCATAGCCACTAGCCAGATTAACGATTGATGATTTCTAACTTGTTTCACTTTCATTCACAATGCGGAGAATCCTTGACTAGACCTTGAGTCTCGACTAAAGGAACAAGGCCCTCTTGAGTCAATTGCCTAGAGGGACGTATCCTTCTCTAGAACAACCGATCAAGGCGTTCTGAACTAGACTCCCTCTATCGAAAGAAGTTCTCAATCGATACAAAGCAGTCAACCAATCCTCGACTAAAGCAATCGATCCACTACTGTCAATCTATGGTGCTCTATTGACCTAATCAGGTATTCGCTCTCATAGGATCAAAGCAGAATCAATAATCTCGACTAAAGCAGAATTGAATCATGAAAACATGCATAGATTGAATATGAACTCAAGATTATCAAGTAGGAGTACTCATACAATCATCCAATCAAACAAACATGGCTAGGGTTCCTCAAAACCTAAGTGAAGAGAAGTTACTCCATAGAGAAGAGAGAGACTGCAGTAAGAATCTTTAGATGATCAGTCTTCAAGTCCGGGCTTGTTCCTCGAGTTTCCAAAGCAAAGAAACCCTCCAGTTCCACTCCAAGATTGCCCTCAAATCGCCCTCTCTCTCTCTTTGGTTCGTCCCTTGGGTGTTTGGGATCCAAAACCCAGCTCTCTCTTTCCTTTGGCTTCAATCTGCCTAAAAAACCCGATTCTGGGCAAAACACGGTCGAGGGCACGACCGTGTTTTACTTTTGCCCGCCCGTGTTTTGCCCCCAGCAGCCCTCGTCGTCCGAAAAACGGTCGTGCCTAAATACGGATATGGCCGTTTTTTCTTTAGGCCCGCTCGTGTTTTTACTGCCGAACATGTTCCCCTATATTCAATGCTTTGTTTCTCCCTCGTCCGGACTCCGAATCAGTCGCCGTTTGATCCCAGACGCTCATAGTCTCGTCCTCTTTCTTTTCATGATAAGATTGCATGATTCGTTGTTCATAAAGTGAGGTAGAAATCCATTCTTCTTCTGGTCATGCCTTATTTTCTTCTCCCTAATCGCCAATTGATCTCTAATTGACTTGAAACTTGCGCCTATGCTTCACTTTATGTGATAGGACCTGAAAGGTGACAAAGGAACACAACCTAGCGTAAAATAGGCCAAAGACGCGATAATTAAAGCTCAAACAATCAAGAAACAAAGGGGTAAACATGTGCAAATATCGAGTCATCAAATCCCACCACACTTAACCGTTTGCTTGTCCCCAAGCAAACCTAACTCAAACCAATGCATCTCTCCAGACCTCTATAGCAACATACAACCCCGATCGTCGGTAGAGGATTTCCTAGATCATATAGCAGCTTACGAGGTCAACTGGTCTTCTAAGACGTTCCCTATATCTCTCAATGCGAGTACTAGACTCAAGCCAGGATCATGAGAAGAAGTAGAAGTAAGACAGTCAGTTCATGGATAAAGGAACTCACACCATTCAAAACCAAGGACTCGTTGTACCGGGGTGCTCTTTCACTTCATTTCACCGTTGGAACCCCTTTTTCACTTTCATTTTACTTTTTTTTTCTTTTTCATTCACTTGGCGGGGGTTCCAACTGCAGTCTTTTGCACGGTCGACCCTTATTAGTCGAGCAAGAGCAATTTCTGTACATCTGGCGCTCGCCAGAGTACTTCTTTTAACTCCTTTTCCTCAACTCGTGTGGAGGGTCAATGAAATTAAGGGGGGTCGGAAGCTCTATCCGTGCCCTTAAAAACACATCCTCAAGTAGGCAAACCGTTCAACGGGTGGAAGTTTTACTTGTACTAAATACAACTTAGCTTCACCTTGTAGGAGTACCCCACTAAGGATCACTAAAATCTCTTCCAAACCCCGATTGTGTGCAATGAAGGTGTCACACACGTTGGGCTTACCCCATGTTTAAGATTTAATGATTTCGACATGGAGGACCAACTGCTTTTCATTTTTCACATGAGTACCCTGTTCGATACATGAGTCCATAACACAATCCAAACAGAGTCACCATTACCACATGAATTCAACGGTCTTAGCTCCACAAATTCACAAAATCAACTGGCACAACAGAGATCTAGATAGGAAAAATCTTATACTTCAACATCCTCCATAGTGCTACACTACCTCCCTAGGTTGCACATTACTATAGAGACTGTCAATTCAAAGCATACTGAGCAGGCAATTTGCAAGGAAACACGTACTTGGAGCCCTCAAATTTAAAAATTTGGACAGTGGACTAGGCTCCAAGCACACAAACAGCCAAACATTCACCCGCATACATAATCGAACATCCCCCCACACTTAAGCACGACATTGTCCTCAATGGAGGAAATATAAGGAGGGTAGAACAAAGTTACCAAATCAAGGGTGAATGATGGTGGGCGAGGCAGGCGGTGCATTCCAGGAGGAGAGAGTAGTCGGAACACAAACACCACACAAAATATCACAAAGGTTGAGTTATTGACTCTAAAATCAAATAACAAAACTGACTCAACCGAGGAGAAAAAGAGAAAGAAATGCAAACCGACTGGTTGGGTTGCCTCCCAACAAGCGCTTCTATCACGGCGTGAGCCGGACGATGGCTCCTAAGTTTCGGTCCATCCCAAAACCTCCTTGAAGTTGAGGTTCTCGTCGATGAGGTGGAGTCTCAAGTCACGAGCATGTGGTATGACAGGTGATGAAAGCTCGTGCACTTGATGCAGATAACGTCTCCACCCTCGAGACCTCTTCTTCTCTTCTCTCGTCTCATTGCCCCAAACTAGATATGACAGCATCGATTGACCACCATCGCGTCCACCAAGAGAGACCGATGTCGACGTGGCCTTGGTCTGGCAAAGAGACACTGCAAATGGGTCCTTGCTAAGTAGTTCCTCGAAGTTTGGTGGAGATATCACATGTAACTCATGGCCGGTGCAGGCCTCTTCCACCTTAACTCCATCCTCAGCCTGGACGCCAATTGCTTCGTCAACCTCCCTTTCTTCTTCATGCGGTATCACCCCTGGGAAATGATCAAGAACTCCTCCTGCTTCACTTTCGTCATCCTCCACAACTTCTTTCTGCACCCTTTCTTGCTCTTCTTCTTCTAGCACGGATTGGAGAGCAAGTTGCCAAGCAATTTCTTTCATGAGATCTTCTTGCATCTCCTCACTCATGCCCGCCTCTTCAAAGCTCAGTTTGCGATGTGGGAAGGTGTGGTCGGCTACGACAGGATATTCCTGATCATGATCATCATGGGAGCTCTCCGTGACAACTTCAGTGTGCTCCACAATGTCCTTGTAGCCTTCTTCTTCCTCCTCTTCTTCTAGTATGGTAGCAGACGGGTGATCTTGAGCAAGTTGTGCAAAAACTTGCTCAACCCGCTCCGGTTGCTTTGATGAGTGCGAAACAGTCTCCTCCGATTCACGGAGGGATGAAGAGTTAGGAGGAGCAAAAGATGAGAAAAGGAGGTCCATCTTGCGATTGCGTCTCTCGGTGTCCCGAGCAAACTGCTCCACGAGAAGCCTCAATTCATAGTTTGGATCTGGCTGTGGAGTGTAGCATGGCTCTGCAGAATGGCCCATGAAGGTCGCCATGGGTAACTCTAGCGCCGATGGCTCTTCTAGTTGTGGGAGAAATTCTTCTTGGTAATGAGGTTGTTCTTGATATACCCAGGGGTCTGTTTGCTCTCCTTAGTAAGGGGGTTGGTACTAGAACCCGAATCCATAGTCTTCTCCTCCTTGATTGCTCCAGGGAGTCTCGGGGTAATACCACTCGGATGGTGGTGGAAACCCCCAATGGTTGGAGAAGCCATGAGGATCCATGATTTAGATCTGCACCAACAGAAACAAAAACACCCAAGTGAAAAGTAAGGGTGGAAAAGAAAAGAAAAACGCTAAAGTAACAAACTTCTGCCTTTCCTAATAATCTAGAAGTTCCCCGGCAACGACGCCAAAAACTTGACTCGCTATGACACAACTCCTAACAATGGCCAAGTGCAACCAATAGAAGGGACTACAGTATAGTGGCTCAAGTAATAAATATCGAATCCACGGGTCTCTAGAGTTACTATTACTCAGTTTCAGTTCATTATCTAGCAAACCAGATTAAGATAGAACAACTAAAACTACTCTAGCAAACTACAGTTAAAGTTAATCTAATTACAGGTTGAGAACTCACTTAGGTATGATTCCCCCTAGCCACTAGCCAGATTAAGGATTGATGATTTCTAACTTATTTCACTTTCATTCACAATGCGGAGAATCCTTGACTAGACCTTGAGTCTCGACTAATGGAACAAGGTCCTCTTGAGTCAATTTCCTAGAGGGACGTATCCTTCTCTAGAACAACCGATCAAGGCGTTCTAAACTAGATTCCCTCTATCGAAAGAGGTTCTCAATCGATACAAAGCAGTGAACCAACCCTCGACTAAAGCAATCGATCCACTACTATCAATCTATGGTGCTCTATTGACCTAATCAGATATTCACTCTCATAGGATCAAAGCAGAATCAATAATCTCGACTAAAGCAGAATTGAATCATGAAAACATGCATAGATTGAATATGAACTCAAGATTATCAAGTAGGAGTACTCATACAATCATCCAATCAAACAAACATGGCTAGGGTTCCTCAAAACCTAAGTGAAGGGAAGTTACTCCATAGAGAAGAGAGAGGCTGCAGTAAGAATCTTCAGATGACCAGTCTTCAAGTCCGCGCTTGTTCCTCGAGCTTTCAAAGTGAAGAAACCCTCCAGTTCCACTCCAAGAATGCCCTCAAATCGTTCCCTCTCTTTGGTTCGTCCCTTGGGTGTTTGGGATCCAAAACCCAACTCTCTCTTTCCTTTGGCTTCAATCTGCCTAAAAAACCCGATTCTGGGCAAAACACGGTCGAGGACACGGCCGTGTTTTACTTTTGCCCGCCCGTGTTTTGCCCCCAGCAGCCCTCGTCGACCAAACACGGTCGTGCCTAAATATGGACACGGTCGTGTTTTTCTTTTGGCCTGCCCGTGTTTTTACTACCGAACATGTTCCCCTATATTCAATGCTTCGTTTCTCCCTCATCCGGACTCCGAATCAGTCGTCGTTTGATCCCAGACGCTCGTAGTCTTGTCCTGTTTCTTTTCGTGATAAGCTTGCATGATTCTTTGTCCATAAATTGAGGTAGAAATCCACTCTTTCTTCAGGTCATGCCCGAGTTTCTTCTCCCTAATCGCCAATTGATCTCTGATTGACTTGAAATTTGCGCCTATGCTTCACTTTATGTGCTAGGACCTGAAATGTGACAAAGGAACACAACCTAGCGTAAAATAAGGCAAAGACACGATAATTAAAGCTTAAACGATCAAGAAACAAAGGGGAAAACATGTACAAATATCGAGTCATCAAGCCCCCTATAGACCTGCATTTTGTTGGACTTGTGATGTCAAAGTGAAGGCAAGATTTAGGATAATGCTTTTGATAAAAAAAAAGACTTAGGTTAAGTTTCCTTAAACGTAAAGAAGAGAGGGTCGGTTTGGTTGTTGAACTGGGTTGGGTTAGGTTATATAGTAGTATGACGTGGCGGGTCGGGTCATATGATGTGGCAGGTTAAATTGCATGACCATACATGTCTGTTAACCACGTCAGCAGAAAACTGACGCCGTTAATGGAGACTAACAGAGAGTGATTAAATTTGGATTGTTTTACTAATTGTAGTGACCATGAATGAATTTAAATATTTCGAGTAACCAAACATGAACTTTTTTGTAATGTGAGTGACCAACCATGCAATTAACTCATTGTCATCCAAATGGATCCTATCCTATCCAAATAATTGTAGTGACCATGAACGAATTTAAATATTTCGAGTAACCAAACATGAACTTTTTTGTAATGTGAGTGACCAACCATTCAATTAACTCATTGTCATCCAAATGGATCCTATCCTATCCAAATAGACATACGTCTCAATTTGAACCAATGATAGCTAATAAACGATTTTGAGGGTTTGAACCCATGATAAATAATATACGATTTTGAGGGTCGTTTTTATGTGAAAAATGATTAAATAGGTGTCATTAGATATATGAAAAAGGATTAAATAATAGCTAATAAACGATTTTGAGGGTTTGAACCCATGATAAATAATATACGATTTTGAGGGTCGTTTATATGTGAAAAATGATTAAATAGGTGTCATTAGATATATGAAAAAGGATTAAATAGTTGTCATTAGATATAAATAAATATGCTTTCATTGAGAGTTGAACTCAAGACCTCCCGCTTACTAAACGGGTGCTCTAACCAACTGAGCTATGAAAGCTTTGCATTTAATTATCATTCTTACATTAGACTTGGAGAGGTGGATTTTTGGGTGGAAGGCCAATTAAGATTCTTCTATGATTTATGAACACATTCAATTACACATATCAATCCAATTGAGAGGATAACACATCATTCACACAACACTTGTGTCAACAAAACTAGCTTTTTACCCGGCCCGTTGGCTGGAGAGATTTATTTTATAATTTATATTAATTAATTTATTTATATGTTTAAATCATTTTGGATCTTCTAAATATTTTGTGTTCTTGATTCATAAAAGAGTTTGTAGTATGTCTATATTGAAAATTTCCAATATTTAGCACACTCACTTCTGATGCTTCGATTTTCTAATCATAAATTATGTCGCTGTCACGTCCCATTTATAACTTATGTCAAAATTTGTCAACCAAAACACTAATATTTAGCATACGCCAACCTGAACCACACACACACTACCATACGACCATTGAGTTTTACTATTTAGACTTCAGAGTTTTTTGGGGCATGATACTATACCCTAACCTCTAATAGGTGAACTCTTATCCCTAATTCTCTAACCTCTAATTTATGCAAATACTTTGTCATACCTATCTTCTATCGTATCTTGAGTAAAATGCAAAGATAGTATACCTTATTTGCATTGAATGCAAATACTTTGTGGTAGCTACTTCGATGCACTCACAAAAATGAGTGCATTGAATGCACCCAACTCTGAAAGTAGCCTTAAGACATCAATTTTTTATTTTAATTGGTAAGATCAGTGTAATATGACAATATAATATAATATCACAACTAATCAATGCATTACCCTAAGGCCTAAGCCCTAAACCTTCAATTTTGAACTTTTGCCCTAAACCCCAAATCATGAACCCTAACCCTAACCCTAAATCTATAAATCATAATTTCTTCAAATTAATGTAAATTTTGAATAATTTTTGTGCTAATTCATGGGGTTACTTTTTCATCGTATCATACGTGATCATTAACATTGTTTTGACATGAATCGCATGCTCATAATGACAAATATGAAGCGAGTGCATTGAATGCACCCAAAAATGTGAGTGCACCGAAGACATAACCATATATATATATATATATATATGTGTGTGTGTGTGTATATATATATATTGTAGACTCAAAATTATCCAGATACTTTTCCAGACCTATCTTATCTCGTCTAATACTCATATTAAAAGTGCTACTCGCCTATCCCCCACCCTCGGAATAGAGATCCCGCTTTTACCCCATAACGTCAGACAACCATTGAGGTTGTTTATCGTTTGATATGTAATATATAAAGAGGAAAATTATAAGATGATGCTATTTATTTCTTATCCTTTCCCGCCGCCCCCTTTATGGAGAATAATAGGGTAGGGATGAAAGGATCATAGCTCGATATATTTTTATTCTGTTCATCGTATTGGAGGTTGTGTTCTTTTTTTTTTTTGCTTCTTTTCATTCTTCTTTGACACCTATGGTTGCGATCAGAGGTATTTAGCCCCCGAAAGGGGTTGAGAATTTAGGTCCTTTGGAAATCCAATACACATTCATGATCCTCAAGTTTGGACGAACTCTTGACCAATGTTGTAAAGATTAGGACTTTTTAGTGAGACATTCTTAGTAAAGATACTTCATTGTTGGATCAATTTATTCATCCATATTGAAACTTGACACAGACCGTAGCCCTCGTGATGATTAAATTCTATAATCTCGACTCATTTCCATTTTGGTTGTTAGTTTTTTTTTTTATCAAGACACTTAAATTTAGTATATTATAGAATATGTATCAATTGTTAATTTTTGAAGTTCAACCCGTGGTCATTGTTTATATGTTGGCTTAGAATCTCAATCTAAGACACTCGCACACATTATCGAGGATTTTGGTCTTAACATGGTCGTTGAATGTGTAATTTTCAAAGATTTTATCACTTATATATTAATATTTGATAAAGAGTTTCTACAATACACATATTTTTCAAGTGCATTTAAAATGTCTTATCATTTGAAAAATATTGGTGGATTTCATTAGATTATTTCCATTAACTTATTATCTATACAACATATATCAATTCGTGTTTCTCGAGTTTGGACGAACTGGCAACCAATTTTGAGAGTTGAGATTACTGGATAATGATACTTGATTGTTGGATAAATATGTTTATCCCAATTGACTATTTTACTAAAAATTGCCAACCTTTATTTGCTAAATGTCTAGGTTAGTAGTTGATGAAACGCGATGTTTATCGTAGATTCTCAACAAAGATTCTCTAACATTCCTTATTGTTTTTCAAGGAATCTTGTGTCTCATCCTAGGGTATGAAGTCAAAGTTCGTCAACAATCATACTTAAGTCAATTTTTAAATTTTTTATTTATAATCGTTGACGATAAGTCCAAGTCTGAAAGAAAATTTTCTTAGCATACGACTTAGGACCTCAATAGAGCTTGCTCAATCAACATGATATAGAACAAATATTATTAATGTGAACTTAGGACACATTATAAAATTATTGCACATGTGATTTCTCTTCATTTGAGGAGTTTAAGGTAGAACATGATGTGAGGAATAAGAAGTCTTTTTTAAATAAATAACTATAACTACTCGATCAAGATTATACTCTGACATTTTTCTCAATAATACTTATTTTATTTTATAGACATATAATTTACGAATAAGAGAGTGTTTCATTGCAACAAAATATAAAGTAATATAGTTTATTTTTCATAGGTAATTGAATGTCAAATGTTTATTTTCTCTCTTTTCATATAATTTTTTTAATCAAAAAAAATTTATTGTTTATGTGTATGTTTGTCTTATTTCCATAAAAATATAACTTATCATTCAATTTTAGCAAAAATGAGTAAAAAATTTACTTCATAAGGTTTAATCATATATTTTTTATTTAAACAAATGTGGTATATGTTACTTTCTGTTTTCTTATTTATATTTTTTTACTGGACAAAAAAATTATTATTTATGTGTGTTTGGTTAAGTTTATCAACATGTAACCTACTATTAAAGCAAAAAAAAAGTTAAAAGAAATGGAAATATTAAAGAAGAGAGAGGTAGCTCCATAAATACATTAATAACTAATTTTTTTGTTTGTAAAAAAGTTGTCCAACTTGGCAAATTGTGGATCCTCCAAGTGCTTATGTGACAAGAGATTTCTTTTGAATTGCCATAATATATAGTATAGATAGATAGATAGATAGATATAGATAAGTTGAGTAGAGAAAACATCGACGACAAGCTGACCATTTGGTACATATGGCACATCCTAGTTGTCTGCTTTAACCTGGTGTTTGTTCCAAATAAAATGAGGTCGTTTGCTCTTGGTATTTTGGTGTTGGATTTTGGCCCAAAATCCAACATATGTTGGACTTTATAATGAATCCATGTTTGTTAGCATATAATGGATTTTGTTTCAATCTGTGGGGTCCACTAATATTGGATTATTTGGAGCTAAAATCCGTGGGCCCCATGGATTATAAAATCTTACCTCTATAGCTAGGATTTTGGAAGATAGATATAATCCATGATGTTTAATGACCGTGTTACCCCCACTCATTTTGTGTAATCCAATTTTGCCCTCGGTTATTATTATCTCTACTGAGGACTTTTGTATACACTCTCATCTCACCAACTTTGTCTCTTCGTTGCCAAGTGATTGCAACACAGCAAAAAGCTCCGGCAACCTTTTCCATCTCTGCCTATCGTCGTTTTGTCTTCCTTTTATATGAAGCTCGACAATTAATTATTTCATGCTTACATCCTCTTTTTTTATAATCCAATCCAAACCCTTGATTTTCCTTTCGACATTATTGGTTTGGGTTGAGAGTTTCAATTTACTTTAATGGCTTCTTGCATGTATACAATATGACCAAATAGTATGGATGTTGCTGCCATTTTTACATATGCTAATTCTTCATGTATATACAAAAACATTCAAAATACAAGTAAAGTAAAAAGTGGTTCATTAAGGATAAGAAAGTAATTTCCCCCATCAAGCCATAATTCCAACCTACTAAAAGCCATTACCAAATCCTACAAACAAACATGGAAGTTTCAAAATCCAACATAATCAAAATCCAACATAATCTCTCATATTCAAAATCCAAGGTTTTATCATAATCCCTCATTTTCTAAAATCCTAGAAGCAAACGACCCCTAAAGGCTTTTTGATGAAAATTTTTAAAAAAAGGAAAATTGAAAAAAAATCACAAAAAATTATATTTTTTATGTGAAATATAACAGAGGATATGTTTGAACAAATTATCATATTAACCCTAATGATTAATGGCACAACTTGGTTATTTTAAGTTTTTCCAAACTATTAACGAGTCTAAAGGCCAACACTTTGTAAACTAATTCACCTATCTTTTTCCTAATTGTCTTCTAATTTGTTGAATAAAAAATTATTCTGTCCTTCTTTTTAGATATAAAAGTCAATGTGTATAAAAAATTCTTTAAAAGACATAGTTATAAAGTAAATTTTTTTTTTAAAAGACGAGCTTTAAATTTAACTATTTTGTAGGTTTAAGGTTGAACAATAACTTCTACCGCAAGTTGAGAAAATGTATAAAAGTATGTTTATAGTAAAACTTAAATTCTTTTAGAAAGTAAAAATTTTGCTGTCGGAAATCACAGTAAAAAACACGGGAAATATTGTCTGAAACTCACTCTATTTTGAAATATTTTGCATTCGTAAAATGAACCGAGTCAAAAATTAATGGCAAAACATCAAAGTTTAAGCGTCAAATTGTAACACAATAAAATTTAAATGATGTCAAATGAAAAGTTTCCATCCTGTTGAAACGTCCATCCTTTCCCCCAAGTCGCAAGTCCTTATCAAGTCAAACTCATGAACTGCGTGCGGAGCTTTGCTCGACCCCGACTGATTTTCATCACCCAAAACAACCGCCCGCTCTCCATAACAGAATCCCACCTGCAAATTACTCTCTCAGGAGCTCCGGCCGGTCACCGGAGAGAAAGATGAAGCAGTACCACAAGCTTACGGCGGTGCTGTGCCTGGTTTGGATGGCCACCATTCTCTACGGCGAAATGCTTGCCTTCTGGATGCCTTCTCTCTTCTCTTGTTCCTGGCCAGACCGCTCCCCTTCTCCAGTATTGATCTATCATCTAATCTAATCCAATCAAATCCGTTTCTGGTTTGCTGATTTGTTCTTTCCTTTTGCGTTTGATGTTCCCATCTAATGAAACGCCAACTGGGTCCTCTGCGTTTTCAGATCGGCAGGAAAGTTTCTGCCAATGATGATTATGTGAGGATTGCCGTGCTAACCGATCCGCAGGTTCTGTTCTTCTTTCCCCTTTCCTCGCTCGCACCGCCCCCTCTGTGTTTGTCTTAGAAATGTGGTTTCGAGTTTCCATTTTCTTTCGGGTAGTGGCCAAGTTTCATACTTTACCGATATGGTACCTGTATTTTGGGCAATGTTAGAACTTGGAATGGAAGCTTGCAACGGTAGTTCTAGATATGTAATTTGGTATCGGATGCTTCATTTTGAGGACTGTTTGTTTCCTCACTGTAATGCTTAAACCTGCTGCTTTGCTTTTTGGTTAAACAGTTGATGGATAGAACATCGCACCCAACGCTACCAAAGTCACTGCTGGGGGTTGCTCAATTCTATACTGATATATACATGAGGAGGGCCTTTTTCGCTTCCTTGTTGCCAATGAAACCCCATGTCATTCTGTTTCTGGGTGATTATTTTGATGGTGGTCCTGAATTGTCTGATGCCGAGTAAGCATTCTGGATTTTTCTCCTTTTTGGCATGTTTGTGGATTAGTTGTGTGTGTCTTTGTATTTTCTACTAGTACAAAATCTCATTGACATTCTTTTTTGCCTGATAAGGTGGCAGGATTCTATGCATCGCTTGAAGCACATCTTCGATTTGGATGCCAAGACAAGAGACAAGAACGTCCCGGTTTTCTTCATCCCTGGGAACCATGATATTGGCTATTCAAGCATCAATTCCCATAATTCAGAGGTGTGCTTCTTTTGCAAAGAACAATATATGTTTTGTTGTTCTAGTTGCTTGCTTGTGTTCCAAATGGGCTTATCAGAATTTTATTGATAAAATTTTAAGACCATTTGCGTCTTATTGGTTAATGCGGTAGCTGCACAGTAAGCTCGGCACCACTTTTTGATCCTTGGAAGCCTGATTGATGAGTAAAACTTGGAATCCTTTATTTGAAAGATCCAAAGTGGTGTAGTCTAAGTTTCTTAAAGCTTCTAACTTTGACGAATCTGCTTTCTATAGGCTTCAAAAGACTTTGCTTTTGTGAGGCACGAGTAACAAGTCCCTGACCCTGAGCCTATCTGGCGTTCCTAGGGTTTTAACTCTGTAGAGAATTAGGAAGATAGCGCTCTGCTTTTGGACACTGATGGATATTCCAGAAAAGAGTAGAAAATGTAGGGTTTCAGGGGGCTGCCTTTCCAATTCAGGAGCAGCACTTTGCTTGAGACTTGAGAGTCAAGTCAGAGAAACAAGTCAAATGACTCGGTTCAATTACGCTATTCAATCTGTCAAAATCAGTAAGAATTAACATCCTTTGATAGGAGGCCCAACCTTACTTTGCAAGAACAAACTACTCGTATTCCAATAGAAATTCATCACTAATTACTAGTTTTCCTACAAGACTTTAGGTTAGACAATGACTATCAGCATCAGTATGTCTTATTAACTATAGTTGAATTAGAGAATAATAAGTGGGAAAAGTTTCCAGTCTTAGTCCTTTTTTTGTTAATATAGTCCCTACTTCTTTGAAAACTTTGTCTGTTTGTAAATTTTACTACGCATCTCCCCTCATAGTGTCAGAGATTTCATGATTTCAATCTAGATCTACTTGTTTTTAATCACTTTCTTAATTCATACAGGTTGTTAGGCGCTATGAGAAAGAATTTGGAAGTAGAAACTTCTGGTTTGCGATTGGAAAAGTTGAGTTCATTGCTGTTGACGCTCAAACTTTAGATGGTACGCAGACCAGTTACATTGCAGCTCTCACTAATTAAAATAAAAAGCAAGTATTAGTTTTACAGCTTTTCCTCCGACAATAACCCATGTTAAATGATGTGTTTGTACTTAACACACCGTTGTTTTTCTGCAATGTCATATCTGTTTCCCTTGTTAAAAGGGTCATCTTTCCCACTTGTTCCGTAAACCTGAAAACTTGAACAATCTGCATTGTAGTTTCACCATGTCTCCAAGCTTGGCAGCTCCAATAGAACCCAAGTTCAAATCAATCATCAGTCTTTTCCATGGGTTATTGTTTTCTCCCAATATCACTGCCGAGAAGTTCGGAAGTTTTTATCACAAGTTGTTTCAGTTGTCGTTATGTCATCTTCTTTGTGGCTTACTTGATGGACTGCACTCGATGCACATGAATTATATCTGAAGTTAAGAGTAATATTATTTTGTTAAATGCCTGCACTTTAAATAGCACCTGATTCAATTATAATGGTATCTGGTTTCTCAAAACAGAGTACGTTGTGCATTTTGTCATGTTCAGGGAATGCCATTTCAGACATAACTTCCTCGACCTGGAAATTCGTGAAGAACGTCTCAGAGGGTAGATATCTGCACTTCTTTGTTTAGGCCTTTTTCCCCTTCAGTTTTCATGATGGACATGACATCAATGTTGTTAATGTGTGCAGGCAATGACTTAATGCCAAAGATTTTGTTGACCCATATTCCATTGTACCGTCCTGACAATACATATTGTGGTCCTCATCGGAAATCTCCAATCATTAATCAGGTTGCTAATGGCAATTTTTACAAATCACTTTTTGATTGTTATTCACCCTGCTTCCAAATCTTCTGTTGGGTGTTTATATCAGTTCTCATGCGACTGCTACTTACTTGAACTCCTCCTCTCTTCTGTACTCAGCGGTTTGTTCGCACTCGTGATCGAGAGATATGGTAATTGTCATCTTTAGTGAAACGAGTACCAGAACTATATTAGGTGCTGATCTGCTCAACTTGATATACATGCAGGTACCAGAATTATGTGACTGAGGAATCCTCAAATAAATTGCTAGACTTGATCAAACCTGTAAGTCATTCGCATATTGATCTTGACATTTTGATGCCTTGTGTGTTTCTTAGAGGTACATACCACTAATTGTTTGGTTATAGGTACTTGTTTTGTCAGGCCATGATCATGATCAGTGCACAGTGCTCCATGACTCAAAATCTGGTCCAGTTAGAGAGGTAACACGCTTTTATTTTGTCAAATGCAGCTTTTCTGAGATCTGACGTTTTATGTAACAATAATAATATGCAGCACACTGTAGGCACCATAAGCTGGCAGCAGGGGAACTTGTACCCTTCGTTCATGCTACTGTCTGTCGCGGATAACTCCACGGGTCCGAGCTTCTCCATCACCGAAGAAGCAGTAAAGGCTCATCTATGCTTCCTTCCTATTCAAACTCACATCTACATATGGTAAACTGCTTAGCAACAAGGCCTTATTGTTTTGAACAAATCCACTCCTTGCAGTTTGCTCTTTCAGCTGAATCTTACCTGCTTTAAAAACTGCCAGGTACATAGTGCTCTTCAACTTGACGATTCTCGCTCTCCTCCTCTGGCCAATGAAGGGCGTGAACTTCGAAAAATACTTGAACTTCATAACGGCTTGTCTTAGACCATACAGTATCTTGTTCAAAGGAGGGCCGAAGGAGAAGACCGACGACGAGAACTGCGAGTACGAGATGGTGTGGGATGCAGAAGGATCAATGCATCTCGTCAAGAAAGCAATCCCCATCCTCACTTCGGTTCCAGCTGATGATTACGCTGTGATGGAGAGAGGGAATGCTGTTATGCGGCCAGCAGCAAAGACCACCACACCTCCTCCTGAGGCCGAGTTTCCACCGGAGGTAGACTCAAAATCATCGTCCAGAAACAGCAGGTCGAAAACGAAGATCGCTATTCAGAGAGTAGTTCGAGCGACTCGGATGGTTATGGTGATTGCTGCAGTAAACGGTTCGCTATACATGATGTTGCTTTTCAAGGATACGTCGATTGACCAGTGATGTATGCAATCACAGGGGAGGCCGCTGAAGACAGAACGTTATAGTTATACAGAGAGATTGTTGCCAGGCATCCTTCTGCATTGTAACCTGAAGAGATCATTGCAGCGAGCTTCTGGTTTTGGTCACTCGGCGGCTTGATCAATGTTAACGTAAGAGAGTGAGTGACGACTGACGAGCTGTTATTAATAGGTGTATTTGAACAATATATGCACTTTTAGCCTTGGATGAGGTGATTAAGGGGTAGTGATGGCAATGGCTCGGGGCGGGGCGGGTACTTCAATACCCATGCTTCGCCCAATGCTAGTACAGGTCGGGGCGGTGCGGGTCAACTCACTCTTACATGTTATTTGAGAAAAATACACACATCATTTTACTTTTTATGATAAAATGAAGGGGAAAATAGTGATAATATAATAAGTAATTGAGTCTATTTAGTTGAAAGATCAAGTCTAACTAGTCGAATAAAAGCCAACATAGGAGATATATGAATAGATGGGGTAAAAAATTGACCTAGAACGGGCTAAGAATGGGGCGAAGCGGGGCAGTGCGGGTCGGAAGTTGATACCCATACCCCGCCCCATGCTAATGCGGGTCAGGTAATACCCGCCTCATCTCGGAGCAGATCGGGCATTACCCGACGGGACGGTTCAAATTGCCATCCCTATTAAGGGGGAAGAAAAAAGTTTAACAAGTTGCTTAAATCCATCTTAGTCTTAAGATTACTCTAATGGCTATGTAATGGGTGAAAAATTTTAGGCTCCGTGGAAGCTTGTGAGACGTCAATATCACTTCCACCGATGGTGAACCTTCTGTCGACGACGAAGATATCTAGCGCGTGATAGGATTTTATGCGTTGAGAATCTCAAACTCTTCTATGAAAACTAAAGAAATGTGATAAGATTACATCTAATTTCTGTTAAATTATTTAACTTCTCATTTCATCATAAAAAAGTAGAGGCAAAGTACATATTCATAGAACTAATCCCACGTCATTTCCTCCACAAACAAGGTAAATCAATCCCAAAGGCAAAGAATAACTTGCTAAACAAGACACAATTAGTAATACTAATCATAAACATAAACCAATATGAATATCCTATGCAAAAAAAAAAAAACAATATAAATATCCAAATAATCAAATATCTCAATAATTAATTAATATGTAAACTAATACTACTAAATTGCATGGTCCATGAAACCGTACCGTATCAGCAGTTCAATCACAAAATACCAATAACGGAGGCTAAATCGGTAGGCTGTATTTAACAGTACTAACGGTTGAACTACAGTTAAACCACGGTTTTGTTATAAAATACCCTATCACTGACTTTCCCGATACGGTCTACGATACGGTTTCATGGACTATGCTAAATTGGCTACGAATACCACCTTTTCGCCATCGGAAAAGGACAATTTGGGTTGGAAAAGAGTCTGTTATAAACGCGCTGCTACGGATCGGGAAATCGCCGGAATCGACAAAGCAAGAATACGAAAGCGAGAATCGAAAACACGACACACGATTTACGTGGTTCACTAACACGGTGTGTGTTAGCTACGTCTACGAGCGAGAGAGAGCCAGTTTCACTATATCAAGGAGATTACAGATTACAGAGGAGTATGAGAAGTATTTATAGTACTTCTCCATGTGGGTCTAAACCTAATCCAATATGGCAAAGAAAGCGGTTACAGACCAGGCCCAGAACCCGAACCCAAATAACATTGAGCCCATACACCGTGGGCCGGGGCCGTTGCCCCTGCATCCCCCACCGGGGCGTTGCTCCTGGACCCCACTCGCTGACTGGGCAGCGAAACCCCCGATTACCAGTCGTAGCGGCTGATAGTTCGATTCAAGTCACATCAACAGGGTCAACCAGGAGGTTGAACCAATCTTGGTTCAGTGATAAATAATAAGTAACTTGGACAAAAAGAAACGAAGTGACTTAGCCAAATCTTTTTTTGTTGATAACCTCAAACCAATCAATTGAATATTGATTAATACATAATTGATCGAACACTACTTAAAAAAGAAAATGGCTATTCTGCTCAGAAATGAAATGTTCCAAATGTTCATGAAAATTCTTGCTCCCATTAGACCAGACCATTTGTATCTATATGCATTAGGATCCCAACGTTTCATTTATCGGACGGCTTGCAATATTCCGACATGGGTACGGTCTTCGCTGATTAAGGCGGTTGATCATAAACAACAAATTAAATATCATAATTTCCTCCGAATCCGTATCGAGCATTGATTTTTTTCTTCTAGATATAGAGCATCGATTCACCATTCTTTTCTCTTTCTTCACACGGCTTCTCGTCGTCTCCACCTTTTTCCAGCTTCCGGCGAGTCAGTCTTCCCGTTGGAGGAATCCGGCCGGCGTCGCGGTCATGGCTCCAGACGATGTCCTCAAGAAGCTGGAATACCTATCTCTGGTCTCCAAGGTCTGCACCGAGCTCGAGACCCATTTAGGTTTCGGTGACAAAGTCCTTGCGGAGTTCATCACCGAGTTGGGCCGCAACTGCGAGGCCGTAGACGAGTTCGATTCGAAGTTGAAGGAGAACGACGCCGAGATGCCCGATTACTTTGTGCGGACGCTTCTGACCATTATCCATGCGATTCTTCCGCCCACGCGCAAGTCGGAGAACCCCAAGGAGACCGCCGGTCGCGGTGGTTACGATAGGCAAGAAGACGGCAGAGGTGAGATGGTCCTGAAGAGCACTGGCTCCAACACCAACGAGCCTGAATTATACACTGTATACAAAGGCAGGGTTTCCAGGGTCATGGACTCGGGTTGCTTCGTGCAGTTGAATGATCTCAAGGAGAAGGAGGGTCTGGTCCATGTTTCTCAGATTGCAACCAGGAGAATTGGCAACGCAAAGGAAGTAGTGAAACGAGATCAGCAAGTCTATGTGAAGGTGATTTCTATTTCGGGCCAGAAGTTGTCTCTGTCGATGCGAGATGTGGACCAGCATACAGGGAGGGATCTACTCCCGCTGAAGAAGGTGTCTGAAGATGATTCCTCTAGGACGAATCCTTCGAGCGCCAGAGATGGGCAAAGAACTCGGACAGGGTTATCGGGGATTAGGATGGTGGAAGAAGATGAAGCTATTCCATCTTCACGCAGGCCACTTAAGATGATGAGTTCACCAGAGAGATGGGAAGCTAAACAGTTGATTGCTTCAGGTGTTCTGAGCGTTAAAGAGCACCCTATGTATGATGAAGAGGCAGATGCGTTGCAGCTCTATGAAGAGGAAGGAGGTGAGGAGGAACTGGAAATTGAAATCAACGAGGATGAGCCTGCATTTTTGCAGGGGCAAACTAGGTCCTCCGTTGATATGTCACCTGTGAAGATCTTTAAGAATCCAGAAGGGTCACTGAGTCGGGCAGCTGCTCTACAGTCTGCCCTTATTAAGGAGAGGAGGGAAGTAAGGGAGCATCAACAAAGGACGGTGCTTGATTCCATACCAAAGGATCTGAATCGACCTTGGGAAGACCCAATGCCAGAGAGTGGTGAGAGGCATCTGGCCCAGGAACTTAGGGGTGTTGGTTTGTCTGCTTACGACATGCCTGAATGGAAGAAGGATGCTTATGGGAAGGCATTGACATTTGGGCAGAGGTCTAAACTATCAATCCAGGATCAACGGCAAAGCTTGCCCATATACAAACTGAAGAAGGAGCTTGTTCAGGCTGTCCATGATAACCAAGTTTTGGTTGTTATTGGCGAGACGGGGTCTGGTAAGACCACACAGGTAACGCAATATCTCGCCGAGGCTGGTTATACCACACGAGGTAAGATCGGCTGTACTCAGCCCCGTAGAGTTGCTGCCATGTCTGTTGCCAAACGTGTTGCTGAAGAGTTTGGTTGCCGATTAGGAGAGGAAGTTGGCTATGCGATTCGTTTTGAAGATTGTACTGGGCCGGATACTGTCATCAAGTATATGACCGACGGAATGCTTCTTAGGGAGATTCTCATCGATGAGAATCTCTCTCAGTATTCAGTAATAATGCTTGATGAAGCTCACGAGAGGACTATTAACACTGACGTCCTTTTCGGGCTTCTCAAAAAGTTGGTGAAGAGAAGACCCGATCTTCGCCTAATTGTCACGTCTGCTACGCTGGATGCAGAGAAATTTTCAGGTTATTTTTTCAATTGCAACATCTTCACCATCCCTGGTAGGACATTCCCGGTGGATATCCTCTATACCAAGCAGCCTGAAAGTGAGTACCTAGAGGCTGTCCTGAACACTGTCTTACTGATCCACTTGACAGAACCCGAAGGTGATGTGCTTGTGTTCTTAACAGGCCAGGAGGAAATTGATTTAGCCTGCCAGTCTTTGTATGACCGAATGAAGAAGGTAGGTAAAAATGTTCCAGAGCTGATTATATTACCTGTTTATAGTGCCCTTCCGAGTGAAATGCAGTCAAGGATATTTGATCCAACCCCTCCAGGGAAACGAAAGGTGGTTGTGGCAACCAATATTGCAGAGGCGTCACTGACAATTGATGGCATATTTTATGTTGTGGATCCTGGGTTTGCTAAGCAGAATGTGTACAATCCGAAGCAAGGTCTGGATTCGTTGGTTATAACCCCAATCTCACAGGCATCTGCTAAGCAACGAGCTGGACGTGCTGGCCGTACTGGGCCTGGGAAATGTTACCGTCTTTACACCGAGAGTGCCTACCGGAATGAAATGTCCCCTACGTCCATTCCTGAAATCCAAAGAATTAATCTTGGGATGGTAACACTTACAATGAAGGCCATGGGAATCAATGATCTCTTATCTTTTGATTTTATGGATCCCCCAGCACCTCAAGCCCTTATCACTGCCATGGAGCAGCTATACAGTTTAGGGGCATTGGATGAGGAAGGTCTTCTTACAAAATTGGGGAGGAAAATGGCTGAATTCCCGCTGGACCCTCCGTTGTCCAAGATGTTGTTGGCTAGTGTTGACCTTGGCTGCAGTGATGAGATTCTGACCATCATTTCCATGATCCAAACAGGGAACATCTTCTACAAGCCTAGGGAGAAAAAATGCCAAGCTGATCAGAAGAGAGCCAAATTCTTCCAAACTGAGGGAGACCACTTGACCTTGCTTGCTGTGTATGAGGCTTGGAAAGCAAAGAATTTCTCTGGTCCTTGGTGCTTTGAGAACTTTGTTCAGTCCAGGTCCTTGCGAAGAGCACAAGATGTCAGGAAGCAGCTTCTCACCATCATGGACAAGTATAAGTTGGATGTTGTGAGCGCTGGAAAGAATTTCATGAAGATAAGGAAAGCCATCACAGCTGGTTTCTTTTTCCATGCCGCGAGGAAGGATCCACAGGAGGGATACAGGACCCTAATGGAGAACCAGGCGGTGTATATCCACCCGAGCAGTGCCCTTTTCCAGAGACAGCCAGATTGGGTGATCTACCATGAACTGGTGATGACAACAAAAGAGTATATGCGTGAAGTCACTGTGGTGGATCCTAAGTGGCTGGTAGAACTCGCACCTAGGTTCTTCAAAGCTGCCGATCCAACCAAAATGAGCAAGCGCAAGCGCCAGGAACGCATAGAGCCTCTTTATGACAGATATCATGAACCTAACTCTTGGCGGCTGAGTAAACGTCGAGCGTAGTAGTAGTAACAACTAACAAGTATGTTTTTTTTGTTTTTGTGGTTTTATGAATTTAGTTTTGTAGAATGATTCGGGCCTTTGTGGATGCCAAGACTGACTTTGTATATGCTTTTCTTTGTCTCCTTTGAATGTACTTTTCTTTATACGAAAAGATGTCTTAATACTTAATAGAATGATTACACACAATATTCATCCTACTGCCGACCCTAAACCCTAAATCACTTGTTGCTACAGTTACTTGTTAGTTCTCGAGGTGCCTTATGCAGCTTGCAGATTCTTCTTGTTCAGAGTTGAGACAGTTCCTTCTGCAGTTTCACAGGGTAAGTGCTCACCTCCATTGGATTCTTCTTTCTTACTGTGGAACAGTTGGATTGCTGTTGAATGGGATACAAAATGCTCTGCTTGGAACTCTGGGTAGTCTAAGAGAATGCACGTGCGGTTAAGTTACATGAATCGATCAGTCGACTCGTCATATCTTGTTATGTGGAACATTTTTAGTACCTAAATGTTCCAGAGCTGATTATATTAGCCTGCCAGTTTTACTCATACCGAACAGCCCGGAAGACAAAAAATTAAAAAAAAAATCTCCAACGTCAATATGACGTCAATTTGATAGAAAGTCGGCAAAAAAAAATGAAAATCGGGTAGAACCCTTCTCTCCAACACAAATCTAATCGACACTTCGTTCTTTTTATGCCTTGGCAACGTTTTAAGTTTGCAATTGGGTTTAATTAGACTTCATATTAAGAATAGTTGGTGAAGTTGTGAATTTTACTCCATGTTGCTTTTGTGCCTTGGTTTCCTATATATTTTTTTTTTTTGGTGAAATATAGGGCGCAAAGGGCACCCTAACCTGAATTAAGAGATAACGAGGCGGGGAGTATGAGTCCCCAGAGTATCAAAATACAACCAGTACAGAAGAGTACTACTCGGGTTTTGAATCCCGTGAACCCCAATGGGAACAGAATGGCCAATGGAAGCGAGGTGGTCCGCCACGAAGTTCGCTTCTCTGTAGACATGCTCAATCCTTACAAGCCAAGGCCGAGCTAGCCAATGGCGGATCTCTGCTACGCAGGAGTAGTGAGGGTGTTGGGTTTCCTATATTCAATTAGTTAGTACTTGATCCATTGTTTTCCTAAGTAATTCTAATATTTTTATGATATATATATGATAGCATTTTTTTGTCGAAACAGTATTTTAGCAAAATATATAACTTTATTTTAAAAATATATTTTACCGGCATGGAACTGTTGAACCACAGTTGTATCTCAAAAACTCCCTACCATATACTATTACGGAACAACCACCGATACGATTTTTCAATCAATGATTTTTAGTTAGGTTAGTTATATAGTGGTGCACTAGTGTTTCCTTATTCTCCTTTCTTTCTTTTAATTGTCTCCATAAGAAATGATAGTCATATTTTCGTTTTGGATTCAAGTACAAAAGAAGGATTAGTAGCTTTATCGTTAAAAAAAAAGAAGGATTAGTAGCTGAAAACTTTTGATTTTCATGCAAAAATAAAAATAAAAAATATTTTGAAAAGAATTTATATATGGTTCGATATTTAAAATGAAGATTTTGCTATTATCTTTCAGAATATATATGATTTCTCTTTCAATAAAAAATAAATTAGAAACCAAGTAGAATTTGGGGAAAAAAAAACGATTCAAGTTTTGCACCAAATTTTGAACATTAACAATGAATGTTGAGTGTCTTTGTTAGGTATATTTAACAATGTATTTAATGGTTTAGGCTACATAGTTAGTTATTCATAATACCGACTTGATGGTATACGTGAGATGTAACTATACTATTATGTTATGGAAACATATCAACATGATATTTTTTACATCGTTTCTTATATTTTAATATTATCCTGATACAGTTCTATACTATTTAAAATGACACATGTTACTTCCATGAGTTTGAAGACATTATTGATGGTGTAATTTTTGTTTTTGTTTTTAAAGGGAGGAGATAGGGTGCTAACCTCATAGGAGTTAGCACCATACTAACTATTATAATCACCATCTATTATTTAAATCTAATTTAACGGTAGAAAATTGCAAGGGGTCTGTTAGGTATTTAGAAAATTATAATTATTAACTAAATTAAAATCTCTATATTCTCTCTCTATTAGAAACCTCCAACGAGAGAATAGTACTGCTCCACATTATATACAACCGTTACTGTTTGAATTACTATTGATTTGATGGTTTATTGTAGTAATTTTACGATTTTGTGTATTGATTTTATGTCATTAGTAGTGATTTAGTCCACTTTAAAGTAGTAGTGATTTAAGATTTTTTTTATTGTGAATCACAACCAAATACAATAAAAACATTACCACAAACGGAAAAAACTACTACAATAGTGCAAAAACTGCTACTAATTAAAAAAAGAATACTCATTCTGGTAAGAATAACTAGTATTACATTACTAGAAAATGTCTACAACTACAAAACCGGGAATTCTGTGGTGCCGCAGCGGGATTGGTGCCGTCATATTCTTTGGACCGGTTAACACGTTTGGGATTGTGATTTACTGGGTTGGTTTAGGTGATTTAATTAATAAAGCATAAATAAAAAAAAGTCAAAAAAGAAAAGAAAGCAGCGTTGCATTCTCATCCCCTCCTTTTCTCTTTTCTTGGTGCTTCCAACTTCCAAGGCCACCGACTCCGTCAAGTCTCACCGGCAAACCACCATCCTTGTTGTTATCGTAGATCGACCATCAACATCAAAATCCAGAACTTTGTCAGTTTAAAAATCACCACTTTTATCTGTCCCATTGTCACCGTCTGCTCATCGTCACCAATTCTGCGGCGGCAATCCACAATCAACGTCGTCGTCGTCGTCGATCGGCCATCACCACCCAGATCACGAATCCCGGCCCGGTAGTCAAATTCACCACCGTAGTCAGCCTCGTTGCCTCCGCCCGTCATCCCCATTATCGTCTCCGTTGTGCCAACTCCATCACCATCATCGACTCATTGTCCTTGCCGCTGGTCGGCCATCACCACCCAGAACCCGACCCCTCATTTGAAATCTCCCTCAAAATGAAGGGCGACAGGATGATGATACATATCTAGGTCAACCCTACCCATTCCCGCCGGCGATTAAGAGACAGAGACTATACTCTTCGTTTTTCAGAGAAGGCAAAGTGTTCGGCAGGGGCAGGAATTTTTTGGGAACAAGAAGCAACACATACACAGTAAAGATTTTTTTTTTTTTTTTTGTAACTACTAATAAACAAGCTTTTCGTTCCGTGCCGTTTCAGTATTAAGTATATATAATAATTATCATAAAAGGATTTAAATATAAAACACGATGGTTAAGCGAGGATTAATATCAATGATCCTGATTAAATACTATAAATAAATCTAACGGCTTAAAAGCTGACTGCATCAGTGCCGCCACGACACTACAGAATCCGCCCTACAAAAACACTAGTATATTATAAAAAACAACATACAAAACACTACTACAAAAATCCTACTAATCAATACAATTCACCTTTCCCTTCCACTCCGTTACCCTGCAGGTCGTCATCAATGATGTCCCTAAGTGCACAGAATTTGGTTTCCACAACTTTTTTGCCTCATCATCGCTGGATAATATGGCGGATCTAGTTTACCCTTGGAACAGATCCGGAATCGGACCTTCCTCCTCGTTGTTGGTGGTGATGGTGAAACAAAGGTCCGCTTCCAATCTGGTGATTTAACCGGCGACCCACATCTCACAAGCCATCACCGCTGCTTGCCACCTCCGTCATCATCATAGGCAACTCTTATTCTCTCGTCGCAGACTCCCTCCTCCATCGCCATTGACCCTCTATATCACTTTAGGGCGCTCGTGAGAAGAGGGAGGGAAGAAAGACAAAGAACATGCCGCCTACCTCCTCCGTTACCATGTTGCCGATCGGGGAAGAAAGAGAGAACACGGTGGAGAGAGTTTGTGAAAGATAAGTGGGCAAGTGGGCGGATCCAAAGGAGAAGCGGCCAATATTGTATATTAGTTAGTGGTGTTCATTTTGACCAAATTAACGTTTGTCAAATCTTAACCGTATGATTAACTTTACATCTAATGGCTGGCTGAAGACTAAGTTAGTACGGTGCTAATTCCTTAAAGGTTAGCACTTAATCTCATTCCTGTTTTTAAATATACTTGAGTGAATATAATTTTGTAGTTCTTAATAAATTTAACATTTTTTTTATCCTCATAAGTCTTACCTGATGAAATCATTCAATTATGTTAAGAGTTATAGTCAAAACGTTGATTAGAGACATTGGGTATGTTGGTTTTGATTTTTCCAAAAAAATATATAAGTCAATCGATGTTAGTTTCATTTTTGTTCCTCGCCTTATTTATCGAACTATCTATTATTAATACTAAAAACTCATTCTCTTTTTTATGTTTTATATTGCCACCGTCAAATTTTTTATTTTATTTTTGTTTTGGACTTCAATATAGTTACACATTGATAAAAGACAAGGGTATTAAGAAAAGTTTTCTGGTTTATGTAAAATTATTTTTGAAAAATAAAGGTAACTTAATTTGTTGTTTAAACTAGGCAAAATACATCTGTATAACACAACTTTAGCGTTTGTGACAGTAATAGCCACTTTTGGAGAAATACCACTTATAGCCAGAATTTTAAAAATTTGATGACAAATATAGCCATTTCCGTTATAAACTTTAACGACGTTATAAACTCCGTCAGTTAGGTTAACATTTGGCTGACTAATATGCCAAATCATCGCACACATCAACGACAACTCAGCCCTTAGTGACACGTAGATGCCACGTGTTATTTTGAATTAAAAATTCAAATAAATAATTTTAATTTTTCATTAATCAAAATTAAAAAGAAAGAACAGAAACACTATCTCTGTCCCACTATCCCGTCATCTTCTTCCTCTCGTCAGGAGAGCGAATCCCATGACTTAGGGGGGGGGGGTCCTTAGTCACTTGACTAAGCCCCTCCTAGCCATTAGATCTGGACACTTCAATCCAATGGTTAAAAAGTTGGAAGGGCTATTTAATTAATGACAGGGGTAGTTTGGGTATTATGAAAAATTACGAAGTATACAAACCGGATTTACAATAAGTACAAACCATACAAACATACGAACAATACAAACTAGAGCGACAAAACATACAAACATTACAAACGTATGAACTGTACAAACAATACAAACTGGACTGACAAACAATACAAACCATACAAAAAGAAAAAACAACCGGGTTGACTTTGGAGGCTTCATCCCTATATAGAGGGGCTCCTTCCCAAAGTCAACCCGGGTGTTTTTTAGACATACAAACAGTACGAACATGGTGGACAAAAATGACAAACTAGACCGACAATCCATACGAACGGGAAAAAACACCCGGGTTGACTTTGGAGGCTCCATCCCTATATAGAGAAGTTCCATCCAAAAGTCAACCAGGTTGTTTTTTAGACATAAAAAACATTACAAACATGGTTGACAAAAATGATAAACATGGTTCACAAAAATAACAAAGTTTACGAACATTACAAAAAAACTGACAAACATTACAAAATAATAAAGCGTACAAACATTACAAAATAAACCAACAAACAGTACAAAGCATACTAACCGTACAAAATGTCACTAAAAATGACAAACAATACAAACCGAATCTATACAAACATTACAAAATAGGTCAGCAAACATTACAAAACTGTCGTCGGGAAATTTCCTCCGGTTGCCGGAAAGCTCTCTCTCTCTCTCTCTCTCTCTCTCTCTCTCTCTCTCTCTCTCTCTCTCTCTCTCTCTCTCTCTCTCTCTCTCTCTCTCTCTCTCTCTCTCTCTCTCTCTCTCTCTCTCTCTCTCTCTCTCTCTCTCTCTCTCTCTCTCTCTCTCTCTGCAACGCAATGGTAATGGGGAAAATGGTCATGTAGAAGATCTCTTTCTCACACAGTTCCATTTTTCTGCCATGCACGTACGTGTGTAGGAATTGGATGGGGAGAGCGCTAGGATTGTAGATACGTCATCGCCGGAACAAGCACCGGCGGCCTGATCACCGCCATGCTCACTGCTCCGGAAGACCACGATGGCGGCCGGCCTCTTTTCGCCTCCAAAGACACTGCCACCAAAACCCAATTCCACCGCCGAAGGAAAAATCTCCACGCCATCGCCGGAGAAAATCCCCACGCAATTTGTTGGACCGGCGGAGAGTCCCGTCGCGCGCGGAAGGGAGAGGAGCAGCCGAGCAGGTTTGCTTTTTTAATTTTAATTAATAAATTAAATTTTAGAAGAAATTATTATATTGTCCTTCATTAAGTTAGATTAATCTGAGCCATTGGATTTTAATGATGTGGAAGGGCTGAGATTTACTTAGTCATGTGACTAAGGCCCCCCCTCTTAGTCACCTGATCTTAGCCCTCTCGTTAGCAACAGAGGAATCCCAAGCCAATTAATTTGGGGAGGCTCCGGATAGCATAACAACACCATAAGTGTTGTTAGTATAACAACAGGGATATAAGGGTCAATTGCACACATATTAATTAATAAGTTATTTTCTTTTACCTGGTATTAAATTTGAAATTCGAAATTAATGATAAAAATTCATTGAAGCGCGCAATTTGCCATTTCCGTTTTCCCCTTTCCCCTCTGCTCACGAACTGCTCTCCGACTTCTCCTTCGGTTGCTCTCTCCCTGTTCTCGCGATTCCGTTTCCTCCGTCGGCGATTCCGTCTGCGGCTTGTGGATTTCGTTCGCGCGATTGCGTTTCAACCTTCGGCGAAGTTAATTTCGAGGTATTCCGCCGGTGATTTCCTCCGCTAAACTGTCTTCTCCTCTGTCGTCAGTTTTGGCCTTCAAAGTCGCCGTTGTCGTTGTGGCGTCGCCGGAGTTCCACTTGTATGGTGTTAGTTTGGAGAAATTTTACTATGCTATATAGTATTGGTGCTATAGGGTTTTGCCTTTATGGTACAACTTAAAATTGTACATTTACGTTATGGTACAACTTCAGATTGTACCTATACTTTTTGTACAAATTCTTTTATGGTACAACTTGAACTTGTACCTTTATGTGATGGTACAATTTCAAGTTGTAAAGTTGTACCATAACATAATGGTACAAATTGCTTTATGGTACAACCTAAACTTATACATTTAATGTTATGGTACAACTTTAAGTTGTACATTAAAGCACCAATACTATATAGCGTAGTAGAAGTGCTCGTTAGTTTGGCGTCGCCGTTGTCGTTTTCATTAGCATTGTCGTTGCTTGCTGCTGCTATTGAATTTATAACTGTCGTTTTCAGGTTTGCTCTCTGTTACTTTCGTTTTCCACTTTTCTGCGATGTTTTGACGCATGCAGTCTAGATTTGTTGTAGGAGACGAGGAAATTTCATAATTGTGCGTTGTGGTTAGGTTTTGTGTGTTCTGATTAGGTTTTGTTGAATGTTTTAGGGTTTCTGTGGTGTGCTTTGCATGTTTTAGGGTTTCTGGTTTCTCATGAGTCGTTTGTGGTGGTGTTCAGTAGTGCTGTTGTTTTGTTCTTATTTTTGGTGGTTTGCTTTGTGTTTGGTGACGGTTAGGATGTTTGTGGGTTTGATTGGGACCTTTCTGGAGGTTTTTAATGAAACTATTGTGTATTTCCAGGCTACTGTTGGTGGTTCTTTTAAAAGGTTTTGTGGTTAGTGTTTCGGATTTCACAGTTTCGTTTAGGAGATTTACTGGTGTGCATTTGCAGTAGTTGTTTGTCTCTTTTACATCTGATTATTGAGTTGTTTGTGGTGGTGTTCAGTAGTTCTGTTGTTTTGTTGTTTATTTTGGTGGTGCGTTTTGTGTTTGGTGACATTTAGGGTGTTTGTGGGTTCGATTGGGGCCTTTCTGTATGTTTTTAATACAACTATGGTGTATTTCCAGGGTGATGTTGGTGGTTTATTTGCAGTTGTTTGTCTCCTTTAAATTTGATTAATGGATTGTTTTCATGGTTGTACAGTTTGCATTAGGCCCTTGATGGTTTGCATTTTATATGTTCTGGTATTAGATTGCTTATGTTGGTTTGTGTTTTGGTTGCTTTGTAGGCAATGGCACCTGCTAAGAAACGTGCAGTAAAAGGGAAAGAAAAGGAAAAAGTATCGACACCTAAGAAAGATGGTGTTTCTCCTGTGGCTGGAAAGCCGGATAAGAGGCATCGCAGTAATACTAATCGTATTCTTGCCATCATGGAAGCTGACAGTACAACTGAAGAAAAACTGCAAATGCTTGATCCTCTGGGTTTTAGGGGTGTGTCGAGGGTTAAGCTTACGAGACTCCCGGATAATTTTACTGAATGGATTTGCAAAAGTTTTGATGTCAGTTCAAGGTCTTTCCCGCTGCTTCGGTCAGGGAAGTTTAGAATTGGAGAGGCAGATGTGGAGAGAGTTTATGGTTTGCCGCGTGGACCGTATGCTGTTAAGCTGGATATGTTTAGTGCATCCTAGAGGCACAAGTGGGGAATTGAGTTAGGGCTTTGCAATACTAGGAAAGGAAAGGCGACATTGGCGAATGTTAAACTGGCATTGGAAGAGGAGAAGGACAATAAGAAGTGGAGGGATCTTTTTGTGCTGTATGCAATGGAGGCAGTTCTGTGCCCCAGTGGAAATTTGAAGATTGACCTCTCCTATGCTGGGTTTTTGCAAGATGAAATGGTCGATGACTTCAACCAATATAATTGGTGTAAGCATGTGGCTGACCATTTCAATGAAAGTATGGTTGAAGTGGTTCAATCAAAATCAAAGTTCCCTGGTGACGTTCATCTTCTTTTTGTAAGTAGAAAAATATACCTCTTTTCGAAGTTTGGTTTACTGTTTCATTTATGGTTTGTTTATTGACGAATGTGGTGTGGTTGAAGTTGTTTATGGTTTGTTTAATAATATTTATGGTTTGCTTTTTGCCCCCCTTTGTTATAATGTTTCTGGTATAGTTTATCATTTATGGTTTGTTTATTGACGAATGTGGTGTGGTTAAAGATGTTTGTGGTTTGTTTAAAGCTATTTATGGTTTGGTTTCCCCCCCCTGTTATAATGTTTCTGCAGTTTGTCATTTATTGTTTGTTTATTGACGATTGTGGTGTGGTTGAAGATGTTTATGGTTTGTTTAAGAGTATTTATGGTTTGGTTTTCCCCCTGTTCATTTTATGTGGTGTGTATTATAATCTTTCTGGCACAGTTTGTTTGTGGTTGCTTGACTTCTGTCTGTTTGTATGTGGCAGATTTCGATTCTTGATCGTTTGAAGAACCCTCCTGAGTTGCCCATACCAACCTGTAGGCACAGGTCGTACAAAGTCGCAAGTGCTGCTTTTCAACTACTGATGGAAGAAGGTCATCTCTCTATTGGTCATCGAGATGTAGTGGCGGAAGAACAAGCAACCACCAGTCAACCAATGGGACGAGGACGTGTGAAGGGTACAAAGAGGAAAAGGTCGGTAGATGATCTTGATATGGTGAGGGAAGGGGATCTTCCGAAGCTTCCCTATCTTGACATCAACTTGGATGGTATTCATTCGGTTGAAGATGTGAGTATTTTTTGCTGTTTTAT